ATTTAGCTTTTTCTGATAGAGATCTAATTATTTGGACTGATTGGTTTTTAATTACTTGTGACTACTTAGATTGTGATTACTTTATTGTTGGACATATCTGTATGTGCTGTTAGTACTAAGATATCGCAGATGAGTTTGAATTAAACAAAATAAGTGAGTTTGCTCCTAAAGGAGAGGAAGGCATTGCAAGCAGAAAAAAGCATGACAGACATGTAGAACCACCTACAGGGGTTTTGGATGAAGGTTCAGAAGTGTCTGGAGTTACTGGCACTTGACATCTTCAGAGTCGCGTGGTTTTCTGTCGGGGTGGACTTGACTTTGGTGTTTGCCAGAATTTTGCCTTCTTGTACTGTGAAGTGGGGGACTTCTGTCGTATGGTCAGTTCTTTAGTACATGCGCCGCTTCTGTCCTTCCCCTTCTCTTCTTTACGTAGTCTGTGAAATGTCTGATTCGGAATTCTTACTGCTTCTGTCTGTCTGCTTACACTTTTAAAAGACAACTATTTTATGTAATTTTATTGGCCTAACTTGTTACTACCTCTCTTTCTGATTCTTTATGTCCATCTCTGGTTATCCTGGGTAAATGTGAGATGATATAGTCCACTGGTGATGGAAATAATTGTTTATGTAGGTATGAGCCATGTTGTTTTTAGCATGCTGTATAAATGTAAACATTTATATTTAAACTTAGCTTGTGTCATAGAAGTTGATATTCTACTTCACAGAATATCTTCTAGAAGGTTGTTGATGACTTTTTTCTTTTTCTCTTTTTTTTTAGTTCTCAGTGCTAAATGGTATTAAAAACGGTTGCAAGTATTTGGAATGCTTTGCCTGACTATTCTTTCCGTTTAAGCAATTGTTAGAACTGGCACAAGAAAGTTATATGGTCATAAACAGGGCAAAGAAGTGGTCTGATGGACTTTGAATAACAGGAAATGTGTCTATCATAAACTAAAGTTACTCTTAAGAGCAAACTGCTATGGAAAGCTGTTAGTACTGCTGAACTAAGCATCTCACGTGTCCACAGCTGGTGAGAAAAAGGACTAGCTTACACTTCGTTGAAGCTAAGCATTCCTTATAGTGAATCAGTTCAATAACATGTAAGATGATAATGTACAATTAAGGTTAGGATATCATGGTGTTTATAAGAGTATTTCAGGCCTTACCATTCGTTCATCATGGGTAGAAATTAATTTCCTTGCAAATCCTTGCATTTCGGAATTGGAAAGAAGAATATTTACTTTAAGGAGCATGTATGTGGCCAGCTCTTGATTGGTAAAGAGCATACATGCCGTATTTGACGCTATTCTTTGTGCAGTGGAAGAAATGACCTAATAGCATGAATTCCACAACAGTTGTTCTTGAGGAAGCTGCTAATACCACTTTGAATTTACCTTTTTGCTTTTTTTTTTAATCTGTTTGTGTCTTCAGAAATCTCTTCTTGCAGCAAACACAGCTGTGAAAGAAATAGTAAGTACCCTCTAGTGACATAAGAACCCATGAGTTCTACCTGTCGGCTGTTTGTCGTGAAATTTCTCTTCATGTAAAGAGGTGATCTGGTCCTTGCCCTCCCGTCCCTGTCCTTTCTGCCAGCTCCTGCAGACAGTTTCACTGGTGTTCTGGTTTTGTCTTCTGTTGGTTTAGTGAGCTGAGCCTAACCGAGAAGGGATGGGTTAGTTCTGTTACATAGGAGGGAATAAGACTGCACGGTCATGAGTAGGCAGTAAAAAGGGAGACTATCTCTCTTTGAGGCAGGTGAGCTTTAGACTGGCTCAGCTGCCCCTGCTAATGTCCCCTTTAGAATCCTTCTGGATTTATTCACAATTGTGCAGTACTGATAATGCACAAACTAGTGCTTTATGCCTTTAGAAATGAGTCTATGATTTCACTCTTTGAAAATATTTCCTATGAAAAGGTACAGTTGGATATTTCTTCTACATATTGGTATTTTCTATGCGTGGTTGGAAAATAAAATAATTTCTACTAGAAAAATCTAGTGCTGAAGTTCTTCTAGAAATGCTTTTTTAAAAAAAAAAAAAGCTTCAGTGTCTGTGCATCAGAAAAAGGAGAATGACATTTCTGAGCAGTGTCTACGTAAGTATCCGCTTGCATCTGTAAGCATCACAGACTATCTTTCTGTGCCATGTTGTTCTCTTTTAAGAAAGAAACTGGTCATTCTCTTAAGGTTACCCTGAGATTACCTCTTCTAGTACTATTACCATAAAAGCGAATGGCAAGAAAGGATGGGAGCATTTCAGTACAGTCTCTCTTTTTCTGTCTGGTTAATACATTTCTCAAGCAGAATGAAGCAATATGTTCTTTTTCTTTGAGACCTGGCTTTCCTTGGCATAGATTTTTTTTTTTCCCAAAACTATCTGCATTCTTCCCTACAGCAAAATCTGTTTGAGTCATGACAGACACTTTTTCCCCAAAGTAAATATAAAGTTCCCTTTTCATATACTTATTAGAATTATTGGGGTTTTTTATGTGCCAGTTCAAGAGATCTGGAGAGTACAGGCCTCATCAGAACAAGTATTATCTCCACGGGCACAGAAATACGCATCGTTGTCGACCAGTGTTTGTGCCTTCTTCTCGCTAAAAATATCATTCACTTACCCCTGTGTGAGGGGAGGAAGGCACAAATTCCTTAAAGTGGTATAGGTGTGTACCCCTCAGACTTCTGTATTTTAAGAGTATAGGAGAGATGCTGTCTGCCTTTGCTGCTGATACAAGTGGATGTGCTGTTGGCCTCCGAATCACTCGGACTGAGAAAACTGTGAGCCTGCTTGAGTGAGATGGGGACCTACTGACCAAGAGCAGGGAAGAGGCTGAGGTCCTTGGTAGCCTTTTTGCGTTGTTTTTCACTAGTGAGGTCTGCCGAGACCTCGCAGGTCCCTCTGCCTCCTAGCAGAGGCTATGGGAATGGAGCAGTGCGTGCACTAGAGGAGCTGGGACGTACTCAGGTCTGTGGGTCCAGATGAGCATCTGAACGCGCTGGTTGATGTCAGTCTGGGCAACAGGATGGGGTGCGCTCTCAGCAAGTTTATGGACCGTACCAGGTTTAGGGGTCAGGCTGCTGTGCTGGAGGGCAGAGCTGTAAATCAGAGGGACTTCAGCAGGCTGACAAACCTCCCGAAGTTCAGCAAGGCAAGTGCAGAGTCCTGCATCTGGCGTGGGCTAACCCCGTGCAACAGGATAGGCTGCAGAGAAAGCAGCTCTGCAGGAAAAGGCACTGGCGGAGAGGCTGAACGGGGTCGGCAGTGCGTCCTGGCAGCAGAGGCGACCAGCTGCATACGGAGCTGTGCTAGCAACAGCGTGGTCAGCAGGGTGAGGGAAGTGATTTGTCTGCTCTGTTTGGCTCTCGTGAAACTGCATCCGGAGTACGGTGTCCAGTTTTGGGCTCCTCCGTACATGAAAGGCATTGCCAGAGCACAGTGATGTATGAGGAGAGGCTGAGAGAGAGCTCGGTTTGTTCACAGCACCTTTCTGAAGCGGGGATGTAGCCTTATTCTGTGCTACAGATGGGGTAAAAAAAGCAGCATATAGTGTCACAGGAAGCTTGCAATAGATCAGGAAACTGAAGAGGGAATTTTCTGGGTACAGAGGTGTCTCTCTAGTTCCCCCAGTCTTCCAGCATGGATGGTTATCCATGCTCTCAGGCTACTCAAGTATTAGTTCTCCTTGTCTGCAGAAATGTCTTTTTTAAAAACAGCAGATGAAAACTTAGCATTGATTTTTATTTTTTTTGTCTTAAGTATCTAAATTTTCTTTGAAGTGTCATAAACTTACTGTTTACTACGTTTTTAAACCCATAAACAATTTGTTCCACACAGTTTGTCTGTAAGTGGATGTGGTAATTGAAAGGTTTTCCTTAACTTCATTCTGGGTTGAATTCCAAATTAACCTTTTGGCGGAAGGTAGAGCGTGAAAAATGGAGATTAAAATGATGAATATTGTATTTCTAAAAATTTTCCCTGAAGATAGTTAGGTACTTTTTTTTGGTTGATAATGTGCAAGTTATCAATCAGCTAGGTAGCTTGTTCTTAATATTTGCACTGAAGCAATGCAATTTATTAAACTATAACTTGAGGTAAAATGTAGGATACTGGTGTGAGTGGATACTGTTTCTTGCTGGCAGCCCATGCTATTTGATGCTGTCTTCCTGACAGATTTTGAGAGAAATGAGATCAGCGTATAGGTTTTCCTATAACTAGTACTTGTGTGAGAAACTTCCAAAGAGCATCTGAACGGTACATTTGATAGTGCTGATGATGTCTTACGTGAGACTTAGTAGCATGATTGTTCTCTTTTGAGAACAAACTGGTGTTAAAGCAGAGCTAATGCTTCTAAAGGCGTTATGTGTAGATATAGGGAAGCCCGTATTCCTGATGATTTGATGTCATTTCTTGGCACTTTTTATAAATTTGTCTTTGCTACGTGTGATTCATCATGCTCAACTGGAGGAGCAATTCCACTGGGAAGGTTGTTTGTGCTGTGGCTCTGTAATGTTCAACAGCTGTTCTGTTTCAGCTCAGAATGACTGGATTTCTTCTATGTCATATTGATACTGTGAGTTTGCAAATTGCCTTAAAAACACTTTAAGTTTGAGGTCTTGTCCAACTGAAAGTGCATTTCTTCCAGATATGGAACCTGGACTATATTCCGGTCTGTCCAGGTAGATGACTCCCACGTCTGGGAACTTTCAGTCTGATGTAAGAGTTAAGAAATACTTCTATCATTTTTTTTGATCTGTTGTGATCATTTTATTGAGATGAACTGCGTTGTACGCAGTAACGTTTTTCATGGGTACCTAGAAGGAAGAATAGTTTGATGTAACAGAATGGGTTCACTTGGAAAAAGTAAATGAAGAGAACCAAAATTATACTGAACTGTACTGGCTGTAACTGAAAACAATGGTTTTAGCTGATGAGTTGGGTAATATTGTGAGGAGTAGGAGGGACTGAGTTATTTGCGTGAATTATTCTTACTGTTCTGTTCTCCTGCAGGTTGCTGTGTTGATGAAATCCATATCTAGTTCACCCAGTCTTCCAGACAACGTGCTCCATGCTCTGAGCCCCGGAGGAGCTTGGCGTTCTGAAATGAAGATGGAGGCGGTGGGAAAAGCAGAAGAACTCGTTGATTCAGAAGTTCCACCAAAGACTTCTGAAAAGCCAGAGACAGCTCCTGATGAAGATGGACCGATAGAACTGGAGACACAAACTCAGAAAGATAATGCGCCCGCTGTAGCAGACTCTACAGTGCTCTCCTCAATGCCTTGCTTACTGATGGAACTGAGGCGAGACTCCTCGGAGTCTCAGCTGGCATCTACAGAAAGCGATAAGCCAACGGGTGGTCGAGTTTATGAGAGTGACTCTTCTAATCATTGCATGCTTTCCCCTTCTTCCAGTGGGCATTTGGCTGACTCAGACACATTGTCTTCCACAGAAGAGAATGAGCCCTGTCAAGCTGAAGCTGCTGTAGAAGGCGACCCTTCTGGGGTGTCTGGGGCTGCAGTCGGGAGGAAATCCAGGCGATCCAGGTCCGAAAGTGAAACTTCAACAATGGCCGCCAAGAAAAACCGACAGTCTAGTGACAAGCAGAATGGCAGAGTTACCAAGGTAAAAGGTCATCGAAGCCAAAAGCACAAAGAAAGAATCCGGCTGTTAAGGCAGAAACGGGAGGCAGCTGCTCGCAAGAAGTACAACCTGCTGCAGGACAGCAGTACCAGTGATAGTGACCTGACGTGTGACTCGAGCACGAGTTCATCAGATGATGATGAAGAGGTTTCAGGGAGCAGCAAGACAATCACTGCAGAGATACCAGGTAGAGGATGTTTTTTAAACTGAACTGTAACGCATCTGACATCGTTTCTCAGCTGTCATGCTAAATTAGATGAGTGACACTTGAGAAAAACCAGGAGAACTGCAGCTCTGTGTAAATTTGAAGACTGCAGTATATTAACAAGGCATGGCAAATTTTAAAATCTGTTCTGAGGTTTCAGTGCGCTTTTGCACGCCAACAAAACATAGAAATGGTAAATTGGAGGAAGGACTACCTTTGAAGTGTGGAATTTTCAGATTTTTTTCCTTTGTAAGCCTATACGAACTCCTATCAGTGCTGTCAAATCCCATTAGATGGTGATAATAAATACATTCTTAAGATAAGTGGCCAGCTTTGCTTTAATATAGTAAGACCACAGCTCTGCAGCTGTGTTTGAAATAACGTGGCATATCTCTTGCCTATCTTACAGTAAGGCCCTGTTCACTATTGCACTTGTGCTGTGCTTTCAGCTCTGTGTTTCAGTGCATGACAAATCTATTTAGCCTTATTGTAATTTACAGTCTTGCAGATCGCAGCTGGTCACCTATTTTAGGACATAAATACGAATTTGTTTACACAGGTGCCCAAGCTATTTCCAATCCTAAGTTTTTAACATTTTAGACAAAGGTATTAGCATTTTCTTGTGTCAAAAGGATCTATGATTTCTATATTTTTAATTTTCTGACACATCCACATTAAAAGATGGGAGCAGCAAATTACAGGGGCCTTCTCTTGATTTTATTAGTGAAAGAAAGATGAGTTCTTCAAGTTTCTTGTCTGCTGAGTCTCTGTTATTGAATTAGCCCAAATGCCGTGGACAGGATTTTGTGTGACTTACTCTTGCAGCATATTATACCATAGAACCGTCATCATATGGTAATCTTCGTATGGCAATCACAAATAAAATCACATAAAAATAAACCTTTTGGCTTGCCAATTTTTACTGGGTTACATGCCTTTTTCCCTTTTGTGCTAGAAGATTTTGGGAGATAAATATCATCTTTATAGGGCAAGAAAATTTAAAGGAAAACTGCATTAATTTGTCTTAACTTAGTAAACCAATATTTGCTAGTTGAATTACTTAAAATATTAATTTACATCAGATTTTACAAGTAACTGTCACTGTTTTAACTGACTTCATTAAGGTGAATGATTCTGGACGTCACCATGAGAACTGGCGTTTTTCCCACATATTGCTAGGAAGCAGGTTTCACAAAGGAAGTTAATGTTTATTATTGGAAAGTCTGGGAAAGGCATATTTCTCCTATAATTGTTGTTTAGTAAAATTTTAACTACCTAGTAAAAATAACTGTAGAATCTCTATTATAAAGTCTAGCTTCTAACTTTCATGGTGAAGTGCCTTGTTATTGACTATATTTACACTTTGGGCAATTAAGGCCTGAGTTAAAGCCCATTGAAGAAAACTGTCTTTCACTGAGTTTTGGGGCAATTCTCTCAATCCCTCCTCCTTGAGAAACAGGGTATGACTTTTTTGAAGTCATGAAGTGCCTTGTGACCCAGAAACATATCACATGGTATTTTCAGATCTGCCTAGGTTTGATTTCCATTGCCTAGATACTTCTGAGCTTACTCTAGGGTACTTTTCTACGTCGTTAGGCTCTTTGGTACTTGAACTCTAGGTGTTACCATGAGAGGCTTGCTGTGAAAAGGTCCCATTGTAATGGATGGAAGAACCTGTTGATTTCGTGATTATTACACCAAGGCCTACTTCTACACGGGATGCAAGATGTGGGAGTGCAAAAACCGTCTTGGGGAACAGTGACCTGTATTTCTTACTTCATAGCTCTGCATTCATCTATCTGATACTAAATTACATTGAAGACAAAAACTTTCAAGCTGTCATTCTGGGATTAGGTACAATGTGTATCTGTCAGATTGCAGTTTTCCTTTAAATAAAAACTAGTTTGGTTTGTGGGAAACAAATCTCTGAGTACAAGAGAAAAATATTCGTTATAGAGATAGGGACAAGGTGGACCAAAAATGCATCCTATGCTATTTCTGGGTTAATGAAACTTTGTGATTGCACTAGGTGCAGTGGAGCTATGAGCCTGACTAGGATTGCAAGGATTGCTCTCCATTGCAAGTGACTAATGGACAGATTCACACGCCATCTGTGATTCCTCCTCTTGGAACTGGCAAACTGCTTAAGTTAAATAACTTTTCTGAATAAAAAGCCATTACAGAGCATTACACTGTGCAATCGTCAAGATTTAGGAAGCGAACAGCTAATCAGAATCTAGTACAGGGTAGCCAAAAGCATTACCTGAATTTCAGGCCACAGGTATCCTTTGAATATAATCGAAAGATGAGAGTAAACTTCAAATTTAACTTAATATTTGAACTTCAGTATCAAGAAACTGCAGTGCATCTGTCAGAAGGACATAAGCATGAACAAAAATTTGCATTTACTTTTAAAAATCTGCGCATTTTGATGCGGAAGAGTAATACAGGTAGCCTGTGTTCCCCTTAGTCTAATCATATTTGGATGCTTTAGCAGGAATGTTAGTTACAGTCTCAAATGTAGCTTACTATCGGGACTCATTTTCAGATGTCTGTTGTCTGAAAACAGCTTTGCCAACAGAGATGCTCTAAAATTTTTAGCAACGATATATTGTGGCCATCATCATATACAAAGAGAATACAAATATTCTGGCTCTTAGCTTCTATCAAAACACAGTGTTACAGAAGACGGTTTGCTACCTGTGTCGTCTGAAAATTGAAGTGACTCATTTGAGAATGCAAGTGTCACGTCACTAGGTCTCTTCCATTTCAAGAGGGTAGTTATTGTTTCAAACCATCTATGTGACTGGTTCAGAAATATGTTTGGATTGATTAGTGAGGAAAGGAAAGCGTTCAGTGAAGTGCATAATGGTGCCATGAACATCAGTAGTGCTACTAGCTTCATTTTATTGTACGTGCACACAAATTGTGAACCAAGCAGTTGTTCAGTAGAGTGTCAGTTCTCGCTGCTGTACTCGAATGTAATAACACACGTTAAAATACCAACAGTCTTTTCTTGGCAAAGACTAAAAAGTTGTGACGAGATCTTATTGGTGATACTTACGTATATGTACTGCGAGATCACTAGAAACCAAGCACAATGTAATATGGTATTCTGAAAAAATGATATGCTATCAATTTTTATATGAAAATGCAGGTGTGATATAGACTTCATGGACACTACTAAGAGTCTTTTCACTGACCTGAGCACTCACAAGCTTGAGTTCCTTAGTTCAGTAAATGCCATGATTTTTGAATTTTTGCAAATTAGGAATAATCTCGTTAAAATATAAGGTTGAGCCTCTCTGTTGGCATTTAGGATTTTCCTGCTCTTTAACAAATACTAGATAGCATCCACTCTGGGCAAAAGAGGATGATCTTTAGTGATTCTTGAAATAGATTTTGCTAGAACTATTGTTGTTAAAAGTTTTTCCTTTGAATGACTTCAGATTTGACCATGCAAATTAACTCTGAATAAAATTTGCATGAAAACAAGTCTGGACACCAATATTTAATTCTATGTAAACTCTTTGGTGGAAGGAAAGGATTTTTAAAAATACAAATATGATATGAAAAACATGTCATTTCACCACCACTGTACTCTCTACAGCAGAGGGGGAAAAAATCTAAACTGAAATAAGCTTAATTCATGTTTTAGGCTTTCCGAAGTCTAAAGTTTGAAGTCTTATGTTGAAAAATGTGTTATGGCTCATTTGTTTAAAGAAGGAAAAAATGTTTTTAATATGCTGCAATCCAGAGAGGGGGCACAATGCACAATGTGGATGCTGTGAGCTGGTTTACCTCCTCCTAAGATTGGTGCGTAGACCTTGAATGAAGCATCTTACATGAGATGAGTTTCATGAAAGTAACTCGGAATGACAGTTATTTAGGAATAGGGGGAAAAAAAATCTGTTAAGAATAATTTGTAGTGAGATACTCATTTTAAAAATGTAGGGTAGCATAACAAAATAGGAGTCCACCATTCCTAGTTAGAATGAAGGTGCAATGTATTTTCTTTAACTGCTGCAGTGTCAGTTTGCCTAAATTAAATAATTTTGGATGTAGTCATTATTTGGGTAGTACTTAATGATTCCATAAAGGGATTAACATGGGGGATTTTTACAAGGTGTTACTCTGCAAGAGATACTGTCCTGAAAATAGCAATCGGATCTTATCATACCTTTGTGCTTGATAACTTCTTCTTGACTTGACTTCTAAAACTACAGTTGTAAGTTTACAGATAGCAAAGGGACTAGTGTGATTAAATGCTAGTGTCTTAATATTATCTAAATGCATTTTAGGGCTTAATTGTATAACGCTGAAGGCTACCCAGTTATGTTACGAACTTATATCCTGTAATATTTTAATTAGAACTGCAAAGGAAGTATTTGAAACAGATTGATTTGCTGCTACTAGTGTAGATGTCTAATGTGTAGATACAAGATGCCTTTTTAAAAATGGTATTGCAGGGTAATATATATTTCAATATACAGTCTCTTCAGTTTACAAAAGAGTTTCTCTCAACTTTGACTATGCTAATTCATCCTTAGCTTTAGAAGCCTAGCTAGATTACATCTCTCATATCACCATCCGTGATTTTTATTTCAATTACAATTAAAACTTACTCAACAGTACTTAAATATGTCTGATCTTAAACCTGTGGAAGTCAGAATGCCTCCCATTTAGTCTTCTGATCTTTGGGAGGAGATCCTTGATCAAAGGATTGTAAATAGAATCATAATAGGTGTTCAACACTAGGGTTTGGTTGGTTGGATTTTTAGCTAAAATGCAGTCAACAGGATTGGAGTTACTTGGTATGAAGTGATTTATTTCTGAGCAGAAGAACTGAATGCTGAATTTCCAGCCTGTCTGATAGGTAAACAGATGAGACAGAAGCCTTAAAAAGCAGGTTTTGTACTAGGTCTTTGGCCCTCAAGCGTGGCATTGCTAGCTAGGCACCACTTGGAAATAAAAAGAATAATCTTAGGCTATGTTTAGGTGTTACTGAAGAATTTATGTATACCTCATTTAAATAGCTCTTAAAAAGAATGTATTGTTTAAATAATATTGTAATTTCACAGTAAAGTCCCAATAAAGAATTAGTGCCTTATGCTTTTATTAGTAAATATTTGTTTAGGTTGTGCAATGGCGTTTCTCGTTCTTAAGATATTTTCTATTACTCTTAAACTAGGGATCCCACGAATTTCGTGTTTACCTATTAAATTGTCAGGTTATATAGCTGCTTTGGGTAGTTTAATGTGATGCTTTTCTTGTTTTGAAATGATCTTAAGTAATGTTAATATATTAGGGCAGCATGCACATTATTTATTATTCTTAAAAGAAGGCATAAAGCCTCATATTCTTGGGTTTTTTTGTTTGTTATTTTGTTTTTTCTTAGAGGATTTCTGAGTGAACTCTAAACTTAATATAGATACCACTGCCTTTTCTTTTTGATCTATACAGTGAAGTAACTAGCATGGCCTTGTTTCCTTGTCTGCTAAAATTGCTCCCGATAATCCCAACATCAGTCACTTAATCATCTTTCTGATGGATGTAAGGAGAGCAGTTTCCTTCTAGCTAGACCCAGGCTGTTTTCTGCTGGGTCTAGCTAGAAATGCTAGGAATAATGCGCTGCCAGCCAGTTCATTTTGAGATTAGGGGTGCAGTTCTAGTGGATGAGAGTTTTGCCAGTGATCTCGCTTAAGTGTTACATGGATTACTCCTGTGATACAGCTGTCTGTCTTTCAGAACGAACAGAAATTGTTTTCCCCTTATGTATCTGCATAATATTCTACATATCTGTTTGTGTATATATGTTTGTGCTGTATATTCTCTTCCTTGGTGTTTAGTATGTTCCTCCACAAGTAAACTAAGAGCGGTAAGGTTTGGGCTTGGCTACTTTAAACACTGCAGTCGCTATATCTGTCTTCATCTCTGTGATCTTGTGTACAACTTGTTTGTGTTTATCAGCCCATCATAAAAGGGTTCAAATATCTAAGTAAAATGTATACTTATTTAGATTTATCAATTAAATGATAGTAGTTTGGACTACAGCTTAAGAGAAGGAAGCTGCTTGTCATTGTATGATGTTTTGGGTTTGAATTCAAGTAAGTTAATCCAAAATTGCAAGGGAATTGGACTAATTTGGTTTATATTTAAAAAAAAAAAAAACACTTTGTGACAATTGTCTGATAATTCTAGAATAAAAAATAATTTTGAAGCCAAAATTTCTAGTATAACCTCAGTGGGTGTTAATATCTTTTTTTCCTTGAAGTTAATGCTGTTGGTTAATTTGGTGTTTGCCAATTCCTCCCCCGGTGTCATATCCAAGGGACGCAATTAGAAAAGTTTGTTTTCCTGAGTTAACATGCCTTAATAAACAATATTATGTTCTTACTAAATGATGTCTTATCAAATGGCCTCAATGTCTTTAAAGCTGGCTTCAGTCGTGCTGGGGGATCTGGAGGAGCGACCAGGGATATTCCAGGATTGCTTGACAGGGGCACCGTGTGGGATAGGAACTGCATAGGCAATGTCCTGGAAGAGGCCATGAACTGCTTTGCCGAGATGCAGAGGCAGACAGAGGAGAAATTTCGCATGTGGATAGAAAAGCTAACCCGTCTTGACACGGATGAAGAAAGCAAGCAACAACTGGAGCCCAGGGAGCCTAAAATGCAACTAGTTGGCCAAAGAATCCCCCCTACCACGCAGTCAGGGGCATTCATGCAGATGCCTGATAGCCAAGTACTTCCGCAGCAGTCGTTTAATTCTTACGTGGGCTATCAAAATGTTGATGCTACGCTAGAGTTTCCAGCGACTTTTAATAACAATTTTCCACCTATCTTTCCAGAAAATGGGAATATTGCAGAGCATGATTTGAATCAGTCACAAACTTAAAACAAATTAACTTTACAAACTTGATGTTGCTTTGGATTATGCTAAAAGGTTTGCTTCTCTCTTCATATATGTTTGTTTTGTTTTTTCTCTTTTGGGTTTTATTACCATGATATCATTTTTTTTATTTATAGAGAATGTATATGTAGTTTAAAAAAACCCAGCACACAGTACACCCACGCGCATGTGCCAGCACACACATACAGATACTTTTAACAAAAGAACCCACTCTAAGCTGTCTTCCCCAAACTTGGGAAGATAGAATCCTTGTTTAGATACCCCAGAATCAGTAGAGCTGTGTTTGTTACAGTAGGAGCACTCGGAGTATTCGTCCAAATGCTCTTTTTGCATGTTAAAGCATTTATATGATGAAATCAGCTTTATATTTAAAGATGCAAAGTACCCTAGAGAATGAGATTAGATACAGACCCATAACATTTCCTTAGCTGTCCTCACTCCAAGTTTTACAACTGGAACATGTCACACATTAGCTTTTCTTCTTCCTTTTAAGGCAGAAATCATAAATAAGCTTACCCTAAAGACTTAACTATATGTAACGAATGTGCACAACTATTTTTCATCTCCCATTTAGTAGTTCATTTTTTGTCCAGAGCTTTTATAAATGTCACTGCTGTGTTGCATATGGTGTATTTAGAGGAAGCGGCTGTATTATATTGTGTGCACAGATACCCAAATATATACATACACATGTATGTATTCACCTTGGGTGGAAATCATATCTTCTAATTTTAGGTGCCTAGTTTACTCTTCTGCCGAGCTCCTTCTGAGTCAATGGAAAGAGATAAGCACCTACAAAGATACCTCCTGGCAATGTCTTTCTCTCCTATTAGTTGTCTAAACTCCCTGTATAAACAATTTAGAATAGATAACTTTCAGCTAAAGTGGGGTGAGATGAGTCACACCCAGAGTATGTGTGTGTGTGCATGCATGACCTGTGTGCACAAAACATTGCTGCTTTCTGATGTATATACGGTCAAACTGTATCTTTCCTGCTGGAATAAAGATAGTAGTGTCAGTCCTGAGATAAGCAGCTGTGGATGGATGCATTGAGTCCTGGCACAGGAATTTAAAATAAAAGGCTTAATAGTCAAATTAGTAAACACTGTGGTGGTGTGAAGGTATGGTTTGCTGGTCTGGATCAGGCAGTAAGAGCCTCTGAGCCGCCTTTGGATGCCACTGAAATCATTATTTACTTGTGATTGGGAATGCCGGAATATTAGTTTCATTTAAATAATACAGTAACTTGCTATTGTGTGGAGTTTTTTTATACTGATAGCTATCTTGAATAGGCAGGCTTGAAACTGTGATGTTTAAAGTAGGATTAATTTAAACTATATATTAGAAACACTTATTTAATTCTTCTATTAACAATACACACAGGGATTTTTGGTCACCTCTCTAGTAAGGCCTTCCTTCATATGAAGTAACTTCTCCATAGCTACCAAAAATGTATATTTATCATCAGTTAGGATTTGTTAAAAGTTTCTAATACAAATCAAATCAAAATATAGTAATGGAAATTAAAAGTTTTTGCATAGATATAATTTAAGCAAAAGAGAACATTGTAGGTGTCTCTTGGCTCTGTAATCTTGTTTTTTAAACCTCAGTCACTTCTGAATTTTTTCAAATTATTTTAGTGTAAAATAAATTTAGTGAAAATACCACTGTATCTTCTGTAGGCCTGATTTCCACCCTCCTCCAAAAGTCAGTGGGAGTTTTTCCATCAGTATTCGTGGGTTTTGTATCAAACCTGTAATGGGAACTCCAGAAACGCGTTTCATTCTCAGTTTAATACTAACGTTAGCGGGTTAATATTCTTCTTGGCCCAGACTTTTTTTTTTTTTTTTTAAAGTATATGATGCCCTCATTAAAAAACAATGAGCTTAGAGAGCTGTATTATTTTCGGAGTAACTGTTTGAGAGACTATGCAGGGGATAATTTTTAAGTACTCAAATTCTTTACAGATCACCTTCATGCATAATTTTGATACAAAGATTTTGATATGAACTTGTAAGAAACTCCCTAGTCTGAAGTTGCGTGCATCTCTATAGGCAAACTTTAAAGGAGTTATTTTGTGTTTAATTGCAATTTCATAAACTTGTCCTCACCTGTTTAAAAGCCAGGATCCTTCAGGGAAGATTAATTGCTGATTTAAAAGATACTGAATCCTTCTGGTGTTCATAGATTTGATATGTATACCTTCATGATGATAAGAGCAGCATATTTTAAAGCATGACAGCTTTACGCATCTTCCCATGCATGCAGAAGTGGCTTTTTGCAGTGACTGTTTTTTTTTAAATGTGTAGGAGTCACTTAACTCAGTATGTCTGTAAGCATGCCCTTCACAATTTTTATAAAATAGTGTCTATAGAGCAATTAGGTATTTTGAAACAAATGGTGTAAGGAGATCAGTTGGATTTATTTTTCTCTCAGACTCATGAAGACTTTTATGTACTGATCTCATGAATGGATAATAGTGGATAATAATGAATAACTTTGTTAGGGACGTAGCCAGGGAAATTCCTGCCAACCTTCAGCATCTTGGTTAGGTAATTTTTTTTAAAAAAAACTGAAGCTGATCTTTAAGCATATAAATAAGATACACATTTGGATTTGGTTACTATAGGCAACGATAAAAACCTAGCTGTTACTACTGTTTTTTTTCATGTAAACAACAATGAATATGAAAGAACAAGCAGCGGATTATAGCAGCTGAATATACGGATTTTTAAACTATGCTGTTTCTAGGGTGAATTAAATCAAAGGCATCCAGAAGCCTGATGAGTTTATGGTTCACGTTAGGTATAATTTTAACTTCCCCATGAAAGCTAGATAGTATTAAGAATACCTGTGCAAGAGCAGTGGCTGTAAATGGTTTTGTAAATGGTAAATATTATTTTGTTTGGTCACTCTTTTCCTTTGCCTCAAATATGGAGCAAGATCGTCAGCTGTCAGAAATCGGCTCCTTCAAAGTGGAAGTAGAGTTTGGTTCAGACAGTTGAATATCTGCTCCTTTAGCTTGTTTTCTGTGCGAGGAAGTGTGTTTCTCCTTCTAGGAGATGAGGGGATTGCTTCGTTGCTGTCCTTTAGGTGTAACACGACATGCTTGATGGAGATGATTGCAGAATTGGCAGGTTGTGCAATTAAACAGAAGCATCTGTCATCTTGCGTTGTATTATGCATTTAAAAGATGCAGCCTATTGCAGGAAGCTGACCTTCGTATCCTGGTGCTAGTGAGGAGTCTGTTATTTCAGATGTATGTGCAACAGCGTTTGGCATGTCTTTGACAAAACAGACTTCTGGATTCCCGATACGGCATCCAATTTCAGATTTTTTTTTTTCTTGGAAAACTGGAAATATTTTTGCTGTATTATATAACTACAGTTATGTTTGTCATGGTTTCCATTATAAGCTCTTATTTTCAAAAGGCTTTGACTACAAACTTTCAGGGAGTTAAAATTTCTTCAGCTGAAATTTTAACATAAGTTTTAATCTTATCCACTCACTATTTTAATAAAATAGTTTGGCCTTATTTAAGGGTATCAGAGGAAAACTGTTCTCTCCAATGTGGAGCTATAACTTTGAATGTATTTGCATGCTCAGATATCAACTTATTACTTCAAAACGACCAAATTTAAGTTGAGGGAGAAATCAGTAGGAGTTTTGCACAGATGTGGAGGATGATAGGTTATAATTTAGAGTTTCTCTAATTACACTGTGTTTTATACTTCAGAACGGAGTGAAGAAACATTCTAGTTTCTTTAAAAAAAAAAAAAAATTTACTTGTGATCTTACAGTTTTCCATGAAAGAATAAATGCATTGTCAGATATTCAGCTGGTGTAAATTGGCATAATTCCTGTGTTGATGGTGCCGATTTAAAACCAGCTGATGAATCTGGCCTATTCAGTTTTATACGTTGGCGTTCTTAATGCTGCAGTAGGTGTTGATGAGCACGGCAGACATTCGTGCGTGAGAGTAAGAGGACGCTCATGACCACAGATTCAGGGTTTAGTTGCAGGTGAAACAGAGCTACTTCATTAATATATATATATATTTTTAAACTAGTGCAAATGAAACAGAAATCTTGATATAAAATCTAAATTTAAATGTCACTAAGGATCCCTGTCCAACTAACAACTCGGTAAATGAAAATTTAAAGGATCTGCTCCTAGAGTTGGACCCTGTGCAGAAATCCCTAGAAGTCTCTCGGGGTTTCGAGGGGGTATGATCGCAGGCTCGGAGGCGGCTGCGTTTGGGCCGCTTCCCTCCCTTTAGCGGGGTATGATGACAAAGGTCTATAGGAAATTCCACCCTTGACCCGAGTTAGTTCCGCATCGTTTTATCTGAAGGTTTGGGGTTTTACTTCACATGCCTTTAACGAAATGTCTGTACTTTCAGGTTTTAGTCTGAAAAAACTGTTTTTTTCCAGGTAAATTTTGTTGGGTATGTCAAGGAAAGGTAGTGAAACTAGTCAGGGTTTCTGTTGCAAAAAATAAATCCGCTAAGGGGAGGGGGGAAGGAAAAAAGTTCTCAGATCCTTCAGTTATACTGAGCTTCAATTTTACTTGTAACAATATTAGGACAAAGTAATTCAGGCAGAAATACGCATCTCAGATATTTCGTGAGTTCTCAGTGTCTTTTAGTGTTCTTGCAGGATTGTTACGCTATTTTGTCAGAGCTGCTAAAGTTAAGAATGGAGGGCCAATCTTAACTTAAACTGAGATTATATTTGGCAATTATTTTACAAATTAAACCATATTTATTATCAATGATTTTTCTTGTTAATGTATTTTTTCTCTTCCTGTATCACGTGCTGTAAATGTGTGGGTTTTTTAATACTATTTCAAGGTCATTAGAAGTTAAATCTTAGCCCCATTAAAACCCAGTAGAAAATTTCTACTCGTTTCAACGGGGCTAGTATTTCACCTCACCTTAAAAACAGAGCTTAGTCTGCAGTTCAGGGGAATACCTCAGTTGACTTTAATGGGAGCCTTTGCCTGATCAGAGCGCGTAGGTCGGGCCCACGGGGTAGATGGTTGATTCAGAATCAAAGCGATCGAGGTCTGCGCTGTGGCCCCTGCAGTTACCTCTGAAAGTATTTGAGCAATTGCGCTGTAAAATTTGTACTGTAGAAGCTAAATACTCAGGCTGATTGATAAAAGATGGACAGTACCTTGCAAAACGTGAAGCTCAGAAACCTGCCTTTCTCACAAATGGGATCTCTCTTGTACGGTGGTAGGTGTTAGATCAGCGAAATGAAGGCACATGGAAGAAAAAAGTGTATTAAGTTTAAAAAATAAAAATAAAAAAAAATCCGCTGCTGTGTTCAGTCTCAGACTGATCAAGCAGAGGCTTAGCCTGGCCCATGCAAGTTTTGCATTTTGTCCTCAGCAGTCTTTCCATGGGAAGATGCAATTTCCACCCATAACCTGGTGGAGGATTCTGGAGGGGCGGGTGCGTGCGTTTGCCTGCCTTTTGCTAATGTAACTTGTATCAACATAGGGCTTTTTTGGCTAGCAGAGCTTTGTAGGAGTAGGATGTGACTGTTTTCAAAATCCTCTTGCTACGCTTCTGCAAGCAAACCTCTGGGGTAGAGACCTGGCTTATATGTCTGTTTCTGCACTTAATCAGTCATCAGGTGGCAAAACAAATGATATGATACATGTCAAATAAAAAGCGCACATCATTTCTTGGAGTTTTCAGTGCACAGCCACGTTCCATGTGCCTTTGCTTAACGCACAAGGAAAGTAACTTTATTGGGTGTTTGTATATAATTCAGTGAAACAAATCCAAGATATTTTCCATCTAGTCATCAAAAAGCCTGAAAGAATGAATGTTGAGCAGCAAGACTTGAATTTTTTGAGATCTCTTTTGGTGTGATATATCAAAAATGATCCAGTCTGAGAACAGATGCTCATTTAATCATGTCGTTTTGATTTTATTATTACAGTTTAAAAAAAAAAAACAAAAAACTTTACTGTTTGAAATGAAGGAAAATATGAGGAACGTGAATTTCATCAATAATTTTTTTTTCACCTTATGATTTTAGGGAGAATGTTGTTACACTACTATTGTTTTTATTGTATTTACAGTGTATCCTTTACCTAACCTTGTAAATTTTGAAATGTAACTACTGTAACCTGGAATAAATAAATAAATATAAATAGTAATAAAGTGTTTCATGTTACTAAATAACACATAAAAGCAAAGATTCCTCCATTCCCCCTTTGGGGAATTGTTTTGGGGTTTAGCTAGCTTATGCCGTTTGAACTGCACATGCTTTAGGAAACTGTAGCTCTGGGCGTTGTCTTAATAATACAGGTTAGTATTGTTTATCTAAAACATAAGCTGTCATTTCAGCTTGTCGTCTTAAATGTGAAGCTGTTCTGTTTGGATCAAAGTTACTGATACGTTTACTGTAAAACTATTTTGCAAGTCACTTAGAATGAAATCCTCTGGGTCTCAGGTTTTGGCGTGCAATACGCTTTGATTACGGCAGTGATCATCTAATCTTAAAATTTATATAATTATAAAAGTCCATTCCATGTTTTGCCTAATCTTGAAGTAAGTAGGACTGTCTCCTAAATTTTAATGTCAAGTGTAAATGTGGGACTTGTTGGGTCTCTTTCTTTTAAAATATTATCTTTTAACCAATGCAACTTAATTTAGAGTACTGAGGTTCAGATGAAACAAAGCAGTAGATATGTTCGTAGAGAAGATTCAGAAGTGGTATCTGGGAGTGAGACTAGAAGACCCTGTGTCGGTTTAAGCTTATGAGTGTCTGGATGCCTTTGCGTTTTGCCTTTTTAGCTTTTGCGTGGCTCAAGAAAACATTCTTAAATGCCATTTTTAAAGAAATCCTCGAAAATTTACCAGTTAAAAATAGCTCAGTAATTTGAGGGAAGTGCTATTTTCTGTTAAGTCGAACTCCTCTGCTTGTTAGCCTTGGGCAAGCCACGAGTCGCTGTTTGCCTCAGTTTCCCCTATAGGCAAAACAAAGACAATAGCCACTTCAGAGCTCTTTGAGATCCACTAATGGAAAGCTTTCCATAAGAGTAAAGTGGTGTAATTATTATTGCTGCTATTGTTGTGCCTGTTCTGTGTGTTTCGAAGCTTAGGGTGATATTCACACCCAAATAAGGCTCCATGTCTCATCGTGGGAAAGACATTGATGACTCCAGAGGGCAATTCAGACCGCTAAAATTAGGATTTTAATTTTGGATCAGGATTGTCCCCTGGAGTCTTCAGTCCTTTTCTACTTCTTGTGGAGAAAATATAGTGAAGTGCATAAAACAGTGTACATCCCATCCCTAAGGCTGGAATTGAGCTTGCTGAACTTCAGCTGTCTAAAAATGAGGTGCCTTGTCTGAAGTAGTTGCCTGAGCTGTCTCTGTTTACAGGGGGTAGTGAGGTGACCCAAGCTGATGATAAACTGCCATTTAGACCCCCAGTTTTCTTCCTTCCAGGATGAGGTTACTTTGCCCCCCGAAGTTTCTCCCGCTGTTGATTATAGAGGGAGTTTAGGTGCCTGGCGGAGACTAGATGCCTGATTCCAAGCAACCTAAAGAGGGATGATGACATTTTAATGGCTTAATTCCCCTTTCAGCTTCTGCTAGCTAATTTTTTTTTGTTTGTATGATAAAGTGACCTAGTATGGTGGTGCACAGCTAAACAGCCGTTTCAGCACACCGGTAGCGGGTGCTTTGTGTAGGATGACGTTTTTAACCTACAACTGCAACTTTAAGGTTGATTTGCAGCAGCAGCACCACCACCGCTTGCTTGTGCCATTAGAGTGACTTTAGGGAGCAATAGGAGTATATATATGTTATAACGCAATATAGATCACTGAACTTTGAGATGTGGCTCTATGAAAGCACACCAGGGGCTCGCACACGTGAAATTACTGCATTTGCTACGTTGCAAACTTAAAACTTCGTATGCGTAGACATGGGTTTTTGTGCATGTGGCTTTTACCTCAGTTGACTCAAGTGGAATTAGTTGTGAAGAGCTCTGTAAATTAAGAGACAATTGGATACTTGGAAGCTTTGTCCCTGTAATGACCTCTGCCTCTCAAGTCTCCAAAATCCTCCCAGTCTTTCCCTTCCCCCCATTAACGTTAAATGTCAACCGCTATATTTTGCTGCTGGTACTCATTAACTTTCAGCCTTGTCTTTTTTTTTAAGCATTTATTGCTTTACTAATGAATTAAAGCCTATCACCAGTGTAACATAAGTCTTTTGGCTACCTCAGGTTCTTAGAGGATTTGATTTGTCTTAAATATATTGTGTAAATGACTGACCGAAGAACCTCCCACTTCTGCTTTATTGAATTTTGATTCTGTCGTGGTTTTGTTTTGGTGTCTGCTTTTTCTGTCTTTTGAAACCCTGTTACTGTCAATTATTACAAAAGAGCAGCACCGTTCCCAAAAAAAAAAAAAAAGTTGATAAAAGTTAGAATTGTGCTTTTAGTTAATCCTTCACCTTTTCAACCTGAAAGCATTTTTTCATTTCGTGTTTCCTAGCTGAAGTGAATTGGCCTTATTTCTTGGTACCACGCGTTCGCTTTGCGTCCCACCATCAGCCGATTGTGTCGTTGGCTGGGGAAGTATTATTTCCAAATGTAACCCCTCCTCCCCATCCTTGCGGTGCTGAAAAGGAAACAGGGAATTTTTAGAGAATTTTTTGGTAAGTCTGGGCTGCAGCTTTCATCTCGTTGCAGTTGTTTACAGCCAAACTGTACATCTCTGCTGATGTAAGTGTACCCTGGACAGCTACAGCTAATCGCAATGGAATGATTTTTCTTTTTTTGTTTTGGAGCATCCACAAGCTCTTTGCTGTGCTGTGTCTCTGGGCAGAGAGTACTAGGGTTTTTTTTAAGTAGGCGTTGCCGCTATTACATATGGAGGCATTTATTGCTTATTTCTTTTATGCGTGCTGAGAATCAAAGGGTTTTGTTTGAGTTTTGTGACCGTTATCTTGGCCGAGTTGGTCATTTACTGGTGATAGGTATGGATGGCCCTGGTATGGGGGAGACTTTTGTTTCCAAATATGATTTTGAAAGGCAAGGCTGAGAAAAGCAAAAATATACCTCTGCTGTGAATATTTTGTAAGTAGTCAGCTTGTTTCTTCCAGATCCTTAAACTGGTGGCTGTTAAACTGACAAATATAATTATAGTATGTAAATTCTATTGAAAATATTTTTATCTGTTTGATGTATGCTAAATTTAAGCTAAGTTATAAGGTGTGCTGTTTGGAAGTGTGGAAGATACAAGAGTGGAGCTACAGATAACAAGTTTATGCTTGTATTTCCTACTGATGAAGACTTTCACACAAGTTATTTCTATGGGTAGGTGATGAGAATATCACTCTGCATGTATATACATTTATTATACATTTTTGCATGATTATACATGTAGGAGTGGTACAATTTTGACTTGAGACTATTGGTGCCTTTTGTCCAAATATAATTTCACTTGGGTAGACACGTCTGTCTAAATTAATTTTTGCTTCTACTTTTGGAGATCTTAGTAAGAAGTGAGAGAAACAAAAATCTGAAGGAATCACACATAGCTCCTGAAATTTTAGATAACCTACTGTGAAAATGGTCAAACAGTCAATATTGTACTTGACCCTCGTATCTTCTGCACTCAACTGTTTATTTTTATAGATCACATAATATATGTTCACGCTGAACTCTGATGATAAGACTGAAAACATTCCCCTCCATGTGTCAGTCCAATTGTAACTTCTGCATGTAATTCAGTCATAGGCTTGCACAAATAATTGACCAAATATCAGCCAACTTAATTTTAAACTTGATATTCCATTATTTTGTAAATATTTTTATGAAGAAAAAGATTGTCTTTCAGTTAAGTATCCGAATTTCTTTTCCAGTCATAATCATCAGTGTTTCATGTTGCGAACAGTTTGGTCTTTAATACATTGACATTTAACTACTCATTTATTTTTGTCGGGTCTGTTTTAAGTTTGTAATATAACATTGTTTTATGAAATTGTTAATTTGGAGGCAGGTCTGATCTGAAATATTTTGTGAATTTCTTCATACGTGATTGCAAAACTGAGCTCTAGTATAACTTAAGCAATATGGTCACTCTTTAATGAAGTGTGTTGCTAACCACAAAATAGGAGTTTCTTAAAATATTGTGTTGAATGATGTTTCAGGGACCAAATTAAAAACAAAACAAGCACCTTAGTAGTTACAGCTTTTTAGAAAACTAAATTTTAAGCTTCTCGTTCATACTGTTCTTTTCGTCTTCAGCAATAAACATTTAACACTTCTAAAAGAAGCCAATCTTTCCTTTAAAAAAAACTTTTGTTTTTTGAGAATCATTTTTTTTTCTTTAATCCTTTTACAGTTCTGAAGCTCCTATCTTTCTAGAGACGTTATTAGTGTGCTGTATTAATGATAACCTTCTTTATATATCGTACCTCAGAATGAAAAAGCTCTTCAGACATTCGGTTGTCAAAACTGCTTTGGATTTACGGCATTATACTACCAAAGCAGCTGAGCTTTGGCCCAAACTGTTTTTCCATTCAGCACTCATTTCTGTGGATGAAGTCTCAGCCCAAATGAAGTTTTGGTTCTGCCACTGTGGGGGAATGAGAACTTGAGCCTTTCTCACCCACTTATCCATAAACTGTAGTTACTAGATGCGGCCTTATATTTGAATTAAAATGTACTTCCTTTCAAAATTAGGATATTTTTCCCTCCTCTCTTTGCTTCCACATTAATTCTTGTCTTGAATTTGACTTTATTCTGAGCCTCTTTTCTTTCTAGTGTGCTCTCTAATTATAAGTTGTTTTCATTCCTCACAAAGAAAATACTCCATCCTAACAAAATAGACCAAAAATTATCTTTTTGTTGTTCCTCAATAGTAGTTATCAGAACAGTGTCAAGCAAAATCTCTCCCTCTTTTGCCCATCAGTTTGGTGGCCAAAGATTTATGTGGTGAACGTACAGAATTAAAAGTATATTTATCACGGCACGTTACAGTTTTGTTTTGTGTTATTCTTTATCTTAAGAAAGCAAACCCAAAAAACACTGCAGTTATGAAAAATTCTCCTGTCCTTGACAGGAAAATGTTATGTAAGGAAACTTGCCTAATGTTAAATTTATTGC